GCCCGCAGCCGCCAGGACGCCAAGGTACCGGTGCGGCCGTGGCCGCATGCCCGCCTGCCTGGAGAATGGTGTGTGGTCCAAGCGCTTCCGTGCTAACCGTCCGCCGGGCCGGCATGGCTGGTGTTCGGCGAAGTAGGACCTTCTAGGAAGCTAAATGCCTAACGCGTGTGCGAACACCCGAGCACGTGTCTGAGACCTGCCTCTGGGAGGGAGCCTGCTCCCGAGCCTGAGTGACACGGGCGGGGCATGCAGAGGTGGTCTGCCTGGCTTCCGAGTTGCTGATGACGCGTGAGACGGCGTGTGGTCCCGTGAGGCCTGGCCCACCCCGAGCTGGGCGGCCTGGGGTCCTGGTGTGTGGGACCAGGGCCGGACCCAGCGTGCCCGGTCGCTCTGACCGACGTGGTGAGAAAGGCCCCCTGAGCCCCAGTTTCTGCCTCTGTGAGGCGAGGCTAACGCAGCGAGTTCGCCGGTTGCGGTGAGGATTGCAGGTGACGTGCGGAGAGCCGGCTGTGCCTGGCGCACAGTAGGTGTGCAGGACGTGAACGCTGCTGCTGCTGCTGCGTGCTGGCCCTCCCCTTTGCTTCTGCTGCCTGGTCAGACGCACGCTCTCAGCAGCTCCTCAGCAGGTGGTCCAGGCCCCATGGTGCAGGGGGAGATGGAGCCATGAACCAGCCTGAGGGGGACCAGGGAGAGCCCGGCCCGTCCATCCCCAGTAGCAGGTCCCTGGGCAGAGGGGCCGGTGGTGTTCCTGTCTCTCGTCCTTAGTGCAGGATCAGGGGCTCAGCGGCTGCCCCCGCCCTCAGCCCCACACGTGGTTTCCCTGGAGCCGGGTGTGAGGGGGGCAGAGACCCCTCAGTGAAGGAAGGTGGGCGCACTGGGTGTCCAGACTGGGCGGGTGGGGACCCAGGGCAGGGACAGGATATGGACGTAGTGTGCCCTTGTCCTTGCGGCCAGCCATGCACGTGGGTCTGATTTCCATGAACATGGAATCCTCAGGAATCGACGCAGCGAGGATTGCCTTCCCCAGGAGATTTGTTCCTCGATTTCCTTGGGTAGCGGCTGGAGGCTGGGCCACTGCCAGTGCGGCCTGTGCCTGTCCCGAAGTGTGAGGCGAGTTGGGGATGTCCTACTCAGTAGTTTGGGTCAGGCAGCGAGCGTTCGGGGCGCCTGGTACCCCCGCCTCCCTCCTCTGAGGCCTCGTGGGAGATGGCGGAGGACAGACGTCGGCAGCAGCTGACTTCCGTCGTCACGTCTGTTCTCCGGCCGCGTGTTCCGATTATGACTGAGAAAATGCCGCCCCACGACGTCTTTAACTTGCGTTGACCGGTAGCTGGAGGGCCGGCCGGCCTGCCTCCTCGGGCCACGGGGGTGGGGGGGGCGGCGCGGGGGAGAATCTCATTACCAGGCAGATGCTCGGGTCGTAATCCACATGGGGTCTGGGCTCCTCTGTCCCTTATGGACACCCCAGGCGGCCCGAGGACGAGCTGCTGCGTCGCTGGAGGGAGCAGCCTTTATTCTATCACTAGAGCCTGGTGCATGAAATGGGTGCACTTGTGGGGGTCCCTCAGCCCGGCCTGGGAGCCCTCGGGGGGTAGCTGACTGATGGGCCTGTCAGTCGGACATCCTTAGCGCTGCCGCAGTGGGAGGCGGGAGAGGCTCCCACCACCATTATCACCACTGCGCTCGCCAGCCAACCGTGAGCCTGGCTTCTGGCTGAGCGGTGCTCCTCCTGCCTTGAGTGTCTGCCCCCTGGTGGTCAGTGCGCATCATAGCAACCGGTTCTGCTGTCAGTTCATTTGCATGTTAGCCTTTTATTAGATAGGATGCTTCACAAAGGACTCGAGGCAGCTTCCCGACCATTGATCCCTGCCACGGTCCCCGGTGGCCATGCCTGGTTTCCGCCCAGTGGGACAGGGTTCGTTCTAATTCATTTCTCCTGCACCGCGGAGCGCGGGTGCACTTGGGGCCGGACTGAATCCCAGTCTGGGGAACCTTTACCAAATCTCTCAGGTCCCCAAGTTTTTTCAACTGTGGAGGGACCAGGATGAGTAAGATGGTATCAAATGGTTTTTCTGTTTTGCAATTTTCTTATTCTAGTTTTTGTGTGTGTGTGTGTTGTTTTTTTCAAAGAACAACTTCTTTTACTTCAAAAGTGATAGGAACAGCCCGGCCGGCGTGGCTCAGGGGTTGAACGCCAACCTATGAACCAGGAGATCAGGGTTCGAGTCCAGCCAGGGCACATGCCCAGGTTGCAGGCCCCATCCCCAGCATGGGTCGTGCAGGAGGCAGCCCATCCATGACTCTCTCTCATCATTGATGTTTCTGTCTCTCGCTCCCTCTCCCTTCCTCTCTGACATCAAGAAGAAGAAAAAAACTTTTAAGTGACAGGAACAGTTTAGTCCTTGCCAGCAGCCCTGTCCATGAACTTCATCCGTAAACGCAGTCACTGGGTGTTGGTATCATTTTCTATTTGGTTTCTGAGAAGTTTCTCTTAGGACACAGCCACCTTCAGACTCAGAGGTCTCCCACTGTGAGGGGATGTCTGCCCGTCCGCTGGCCCTGCTCCGGGCCGGCCTGCTCCAGGGACTTTAACTTGTGCTCTGGACCAAGCCCGGCAGCGGCCTCCCTGGGGCTTCGCTGGGGAAGCTCGGGCGGCCCATGTCCCATTTGAGGCAGAGCGTGTCCCTGGGGCTGGGGGCCGGGGGCTGCGCTCCCCTCTCTGACCTGCAGTTGTCATTTGCATCCCAAACACTCAAGGCCAGGCAGGGGCAGAGGACCAGAAGCAGCCGGCTCGCTGCGGGGACCCCTCACTGTTGGGCCCCCCCGCCTGCATGTGCACCACTTGGGGGCCTGCCCCGATCTCCGCTCCTCTCCATAAACTCCGCCCCTCTCCATAAACTCCGCCCGTGTCCCAGGCCTGTGCCTGGACCAGGGAAACTCTGCTCCGGCCCTGCAGGGGCGCCCCCTTCTGGTGGCTGCTGGTTCTGCCATCTTCTCTGCTGCCATTTACATATTTATATTACATTCTCTGTGCTCTTCCGGATCTGTCCTCGGCACCGGCACCGGCACCGGCACCGAGGTGGCCTGTTCTCCGCTCAGTGTCTTCCCCTAAATCCCTAGGCAGACGCCGTGCACGGCCGATGCCTGTCGGACCCGGGGAGTGGGGGTTAATGGATGGGACGGAGAGTGGGGGTGGGGGCTGGGTGTGCCGTGTGCAGTGTCGCTGGACTGACCCCTGGCTGCGCTGGTGGGACGTGCTCCTAACACCGCATTTCACGTGTGGGGAATGGCTGAGTGTTGTGTGAAAAGGGAGGGAGAGGAGCCACAGCCCCCCCGTGGCCGCAGGCTGGCGACTCCTTCGCAGTCGGCCCGGGTCAGGGGTGGGCGGGGAGTCACGTCCCCCCTCGAGGGTCTCCTCAGCCAGCGTGGGTGTTGCCATGGGCCAGTTTTCCCGCTGACACACGGACTCAAGGCACCGTCGCTCCCACCACGCCCAGAAACCTGCCCGTGGAGGGCGGCCCAGGTGGACAGCCACGGGGGCCTTCAGAGTCACACGCTTCCAAATGGAGCTAAACAAATGCTCCTCCAAACAAAACGTGGACAGAGATGACCAGATCGGCCCCGGCCGGTGGGCTCAGTGGATAGTGCGTCGGGCTGCGGACCCAAGGGTCCCGGGTTCGGTTCCGGTCAAGGGCATGTTTCTCGGTTACAGGCTCCTCCCCCGCCCAGGCCCTGGTCGAGGCATGGGCAGGATGCAACCAAGCGATGTGTGTCTCTCACATCGATGTGTCTGTCTGTCTCTCCCTCTCTCTTCCACTCTCTGAAAATCAATGGAAAAATACCCTCGGGCGACGATCAAAAACAAACACTCGGATCTGCTTTCGTTCGAGACTTGGCAGGCGTGGGCTGGGGTGCAGCGTCCTTCCACCAGGTTTTAGGGAAGCGGAGTCGCTGGCGGAGGCCCTCGGGGCTTCCTCACTGCCTCGGTCCTGGCGTCTGATAATTGGCCGAGATAGCAGCCACCAGACCCGCTGGGCTCCGGGCCGGGAGCCGGGAGCCCGGAGCCCGGAGCCCGGAGCCCGGAGCCGGGAGCCGGCCTCGGGCAGCGGGAGCCGCCTGCCCCTCC